GAAAACACAAAAAAATAGATCATATTAGTTCATAACCATAACCAAGTCCAAGTAGTTAATTAATAACAAAATGGACCGAATTGAGAAACATTTGGGATTTGGGAGTGATGTGTGAGCTTCTGATTTTGTGAATGAATTTGTGGACGAGAGTGATCTCAAGTTGGAGGACACTTAATTAGATTAAGCATTAGCTAAGTTTGTACTCAAAATTCATAAACAATTTTTTTTCGTTTCAGCTTACTCTCATTTCCAACGGTTATTTTAGAAATGTTCACTTAGGTTGAAGTTGAACCAAACCAAAACTTTATCGAGACTCTGGTCTAGAAATTGAACCGGAAAAAGAATGTAGTCACATTAATTTCTTGACCAAGAGTATCTCGGCCCTTAACCACCAGTTGATTCGGTCGTGTAACAAAAATGTCCAAATCAGTTAGTAGAATAAAAGTCTTGCAGAAGCTTGAGGAACGTTAATCTAGCGCGAAACCCTTGCATGTATGAGAATCAAAATCCTTTCCAACTCTTCGCTCTAAAAGTTAGTCACCCTCTTGATTTCTTTGTTGTTGCATTCTAGAATCCAATACTAATAGCACAATATTTAACAAAAATATTATATTTTCTCCATGTTAGCAAGGATCCTTGTCTGCATCTATTCCCATGCTGATCACTGGACTCCATGCCAACTACTGTTACAGTAATCCTGCACCTGAAGCTCATCACAATCAGGTTGTTACCTTTGTTTGTATTTCTCCTTCTACATGTTTATTATCTTCTTTTATCTGATTTTTTTGTTCTTCATGTTTTGTTATTAGCTGGAACTCCAATATGTGCGGTTGTAGCATTGGTTACTCAAGCTAAAGCTTCCACTACGTTAGACTCGGGCACATACCGTTGCATTTGGTGTCACTCCTCAGTGTCATCGTTTCTCTGTTCCATGCGAGATCACGATGAAAGGGGATCTCGATGAAGGGTACACAGCAGTTAGTGTAGTCAACTAGTAAGTAGGACTAACACGCGAAGCACCAAGTTTTTCCTTTGCCTTCAAGATAACTAAGGCGAAGATAAATGATCCTTCACGCAAGAAGAAAGACATTTGGGTGACGGAAGCCACTGCTTCATGCAAAGTGGAGACACCATGTCTCGCTGTTTCTGCCTCATGGTAAATACATGTTTCGTCTATGTGGTTTTTACTTAGACATATGTTATTTTTCTAACACTCAATTAACTTTGCAGGACCAAAAATGATCTTGAATGTTCATTCGAACATAATGACAGAGGCTTATCTATGTTTGTATCTCCTCCTCCTCCAAGATTCGGTGATGATCGTTCTTGTCTTAGACTCTACTCATTACACTCTAAGCAACTTACGTGCCATCCACGTGACCTAGATGCCTTGCGTGACTTCATCAACTTAGGGTTCTTAATCTCTCCAACAATTTCATCATAGGCTCGATCCCTCCATTGATTTTCAATCTGGTAAACCTCGAGTCGAACAGATTCTCCGGAGATTTTCCATCTGGGTTCGAGAAATGCTCTCTGCTCGAACAGCTCTTCCTTGGTGGGAACAAGCTTACTGGTAATGTACCACAGGATCTGTTTCAGCTTCAAAGGCTGAATCTTTTGGCGCTTCCGGAGAACGATCTGTCTGGTTCACTGAGTCCTGCACTTGAAACCTCTCCCACCTTTTCCATCTTGATGTCTCTTCGAATAGATTCTTCGGTGAGATCCCTGATGTGTTCCACAAATTGCACAAGCTCAAGTATCTCATTGCTCCGCAGACTAATAGATTCACTGGTGGAATCCCCAAGTCGTTGGCAAATTCGCAGACTTTGGTCTTGCTAAACCTTTGCGTCTTAATAATTGTGCTGTGATGACTAACTTGACCTCACTTGATCTGGGAACAATAGGTTTAATGACTCTTTGCCTGAAAACCTACCGTCTTGCAGACACTTGAGGAATGTTAATGTAGCTAGAAACCCCATCCTCACGCAGGTGCCAGCTTCAAGGACTTCCATCCACAGCTTGTCTTATTTATCGCTTTCMAGTTGCAGCCTCGTTAACATTTCATAGGCCCTTCGCATCCTTCAGCACTGCCAGAACCTGACAACTCTAATTCTCACTCTGAATTTCGACAATGAAATGTTGCCTGACGACCCGAATCTTCATTTCAAGAAGCTGCAGGTGTTAGCTATTGGAAATTCCAAGCTTCCTGGTTAAGCAAGAGCACCAATCTACAGGTGCTTGATCTCTCATGGAACCATTTAACTGGAGATATCCCGAACTGGATCGGTGGTTTCACCAGGCTTTTCTACTTGGATTTGTCGAGAAACTCTTTCACATATTAAAGCAGCTTATGCATCATCTCCATAACCATATTGTTTGTAGCTGATGTAGGAACTCATTTTGAAATCTCTCTAAAATCATATGATGGTTTCCACTTGTACAACATGCATGCCACATAAGACGAACTTTTATTAGAAGAATGAAATTATTACTAAAAAAATAACTGAACACGAGGCGACATAAAACGGTTGGTAGAACTTGGGATGCCAAAAGAAAAATCATTAGTGTGAAGTTTTAGGCTTTAGGTTTTTGTAGAGTAGATGTTCTTGTTCATTGAAGCTTGCTATAATGGTTTCTTGCGAAATCGTCAAATCTGTTCATTATTTAGCATGTCTCTGATTCATACGAATGTATGTGAAGACTATATTATAAAACTCACTATACATACTACTAATAGTTTGTGACAATAACAGATTTAGTCTGACTCTGATGAGTGATGACGATCCAAATAACAAATGTGATTGGAAGATGATCTTGAGTTTGATCTTTTTGAGAGTAGCTATGATCTTTTCGGTTTTGCATATCGCGCCATCGGTCATACTAAAACAATGTAATTAGACCATATGATTAAGAGCAAAAAAAGAAAGAATGCTAACTATAAATCTTTTTCTACGAGTTTCCTGATGATTCTTAGACAACATTTGGAAAATCTTGGTCAAAGATGCGTTATATCATTTGTTTGGATTCATCAAATATGATAACTTGAGGTACACGTTAAGTATCTCTAACTGTGATAACTTATTTTTTTCTTTTGATGATATACTTATGCCGCAAATTCTAATATGCATACGAATAAGCAAAGTATCGTCCAAAAATCAATCACATGGTTTCTAATGTAGTTCTATCGATGCTTTCGCGAATTTTATTTCATAATCTATCATGAAAACCAATAAAAACATCGAAATGAAAATACTTTAATACCAAAAAAGGATATATCACTTAATGTGACAAAAAAATCATAAACGAATTTTTAAGAAGTTTATACGACCACAATCATCATCTCACTCTAGTTTGCTCTTAGGAAGTTTAGACATTCATACTTTAATTTAGAGAAATTTCAAAAAATGCCAATTTTCAAGTGCTACTTAAAATTTTTATAAAAAAACTATTTTTTCAAAATTATTTTTTTTTTTTATTATTTATATTTGGGTTAATTATGTTCTATTAGGATTTAGTTACGAGGGTTTAGGGGTCAAAACATTT